AGATCTTTATTTTAAAAAAAATTATTGAGCTTTTGTAATTTTATATAACAGTTCATTCTCAAATTTAGAGCCCCCCATCCATGTCACCCACCCTGAAACTGGACTGCATGTCTTTTGCCATACATGTTAAGTCTGATTCCATCAAGCATTTGTACCCAGATGTCCATCAGTGTCTATTTGTCCACCAGAGTCTAGTCAACTCATCTGGAGATCATATTTGAAGCATACTATCCCTCACCCAGCATCAATCAACTCCAATCGTTCTCAGACTCAGAATGACCTGCGAAGCATTTCTCTCCTCCCCTCTAGGCCCTTCTCTAATTGGGTAGGCATGAGTCCTCTGCTTGAGGCCACCTTTGCAAAAAGTTTGTACCTGCAAGCTTCTGGTGACCTATCAGCCTCTGCTTCCTCGAGTTCAGAAGATGGCTGGTGCCATCTTTCCACCCCCTCTTCCACAATGGCCCTTGAGCTGTAGGCCTGTGAGGTTCAATATATGTGCCCCCATCCAAGGATAAACACACTGTAGTCTCTTACTCTTTGAAAGTTAACCAGTTGTGGTCTTCTGTGTGCATCGAACTCTTTTGTAAAACTTTACTGGTGAGAGTTGAGGGATGCATTAGCTTTCCCTTTATTCCCTGTTCTGCTAAGTTACAGGAGCCTTTGGTGCAGAAGATCAACTGTAGATGTTTCACCAATACTTGACATCACACCACCTATATATTCTTTTTCTGACCAGTTGTAGAACTCTGCAGTGGCCTCCATCTGTTAAGAAGCTTATTTAATGTGTTAGGTATATGGTACGCTTTATTGTAAATTAAGGATCCACATTTAATGACAAGAAATTTCATTTGTCCAGAGATATGAGATATAGTTTTCTCTATGATGTATATTCTCACCTGCTATGTGTGTTCCCTCCCATTGAGAGGGCTTTAAATCCAATTAGATAGTTTTGATTGCCCTCCCATCTAACACTGCCACTACTGCACCATAGAGGTAGTTTGCCATGCTGGTCATTATGGTTATTACAGTTTAGGGATGGGTTGGACCATTGATAGTTTGCACTTTATCACCTAGCATTATGATAGGTACACTTCAGGTAGAAGGCCTCCAGTCCTGCTCCACTGCTTCATGTCCTGTATCCGAAGCATGTCCTGTCTTCAGCAGTAGGGTCTTATTTACTAGTACTGGGAGATAACCAAGAGGTTTTGCAATAGCCTGTGTTATTTTTGGAGTCTCCTTGACCACCTTCACCAACCACTCAAAGGGAGATCTCTTCTGTTTGGCACTGTGTCCCTTGCCAAGTTCCCAGTTCCCAGGTATACATATGAACTAAAGTTTAGACACTGTATGAGCATTTCTCATGGGGTTTCAGGGGCATCACATTTCCCTCTGTGTTTCCTAGCCCCCAAAGATTCATTCATCTCTACTTTTGTTCTTTCCATCTGGCCTCCCTCCTCCATCCCCCATCCCAGTACCCTTTTTATTCCCATCCTCCCCCCAGTAACACCCACCTCCCACTATCCCCACTCTTCTGACTTCCTCCCTTCCCCCACACACATATCTTGGTCTGTTGCATGCCTCTCCCTCCTCTCCTCCCTACTGAACACTCCCACTTTCCCCATCTCCCC